AGAGCCCCTAAATTTGTCCTAAGAATCTGTGACCAAGTTTTGTTGTATGAATTTCGGGACACCCTGTATTACTTAGCAATTTCAATATGTCAGGTATTTTTGCATTTATAATATTTACACATATCATTTTCAATTTTTATTTCAGACAATTATTAATTGCTAATTGATTACTAGACATTGCTGATATAATTCAATGATTGTTTGGGGCATATAATCTATAAAGTAGTTTTTTCCAGCAAATCATCTGTTATGAATTTGGTCTATGAAATTATTTATTTATTTGTGGTATAATTTTCGTTCATTTGGTACCTTGCCATTCATGAAAAAATTAAAAAATTAATACATCCTTAAATACATAAAAAAAGGATCAGTGAAGTGTTACTTTTATGAAAATAGTGTTTCATAAAACTAACCATTGACTGATTCTTTTATGGCAAGGGTGTTTTTCATTAATTTTTTAATTTTTTCACAGGTGGCAAAGTATGTACTTAGATATCTGGATATCTTGGATACCTAGATTTCTGGTACTTATAGAAGAACATTCGACTTCATTTGACAGGATCGTTTATATTAATAGATCGATACAAGCCTGTTAAAATAATAATTTCCGAAATCATCACCAGTTTCATGTTTGTTTGTATTTCAAAGCAGAAATAAAGATTCTTTTTTTTAAATGTTAACTGTTTCTCACTAGTCTTTTTTGTTTACATGTGGACGCAAATGTAAAGCTAAAACGTGATGCAAATAATTCGCACATCCGTAGTTTGAATTAACTTGTTAGATTATAAAGTAAGGGAAAAGAACGAGGCAAATCCTAAAAAAAAAATTATTTTTTTTTTAAACTAAAATCTCGTACAATTGCAATCTCACAGTAACCTGACAAGTACAACATTTTACAGTGACTAATTAAACACAGAGCTACAAACAGCCTTTTACTGTCTGAAGTATTTAATTTAATTTCTACTTTGATATAATTGCTTTTAATGCTGGCGGATTTCCAAGTAGGAATATATGTCTGCAGTGGAATTTGCAATTTATTAGAGAGCTTAGAGAGCCTCACTTATAGATTTAGACTTTATCGAGCGTTGTCTCGTCTTCCACTCGACGTCTAATTGGCTACTTGCTAAGATCTCATTTGTTTCCTATGTTGCTACAGCTACCGGAACATTAAGGTTTTATAGATGCTTGCATTTATGGGCCGTGTAAACACAATAACAAGCCAAGACGACCGGTCCTAATTCCCTGAATGTTAATTTAAAATTTTATGCAGCATTTCCGTTCTTACACACTAAGGATGTCCAAAACATACGGAGCCTTCATAAATGATTACAAGCCACGTGATCAGTACCTAATTTTGTTTGAAACAGTAATTTTATTTCCTTCGCGTTGGCAATTTCGTTTTACCGGTACAACGTTTTATTATAATTACAGTGATATATACAGGGTTATCCAAAAGTCCCGGTACGGCTGAAAAACTTTCGAAGAAAGCATTTTGGAAAAAAATGTTTCAGACAAAATTGTAAGGATTTTTCCCTGGCTATCTGATGGATTTGACCTTGACTGACCCTCAAGGTCATTTGAAGGTCAAGTTAAGTTTTTTAAATGGGAACTCCTATTTTTTATTGCGGATTTAGAAAGAACAGGAAATTTTACATCTACAGATGGTCTTGACCATGACTTTGACAATGACCTTCAAGGTCAAATGTGGGTCGACTTCCAAAAGTCCCGGTACGGCAGAATTTTCGAAGAATGCTTTTTAGGAAAAAATGTTTCAGACAGAAGTGTAAAGATTTTGTCTGCTCTTTCCAAATCCGCAATAAAAAATAGGGGTTCCTATTTAAAATATTTAACTTGACCTTCAACTTACCTTGAAGGTCAAAGTCAAGGTCAAATTCAAGGACGCCATCAGATAGCCAGGGAAAAATCCTTACACTTTTGTCTGAAACATTTTTTCACAAAATGCTTTCTACGAAAGTTTTTCTGTCGTATCGGGACTTTTGGATAACCCTGTATATCTTTAGCTGTATAGGAGACATAGCCAAAAGAATTCAAATTAATCATAAAAATATTCCTAAAATTATCTTGAAACGAAGAGGAAAATTTATAGTGAACTAAAATTAAAATTTGCTGGTAGCAGCTAGCTATTAAAAGTTTCCACGTAGCTTAATGAATTAAAATATTTTTGTACCATTTGTAAGAAAGTTCTATATCTCGAAAACGGTTAAGTTTAGGTACATGATGTCTATATCATTTTTTTTTTAGAATTTCGAGAAGAATTGAAGTATGGAAGGGTGTTCCATTAAAGAAAAAGCAACTTTGTTTCGGCATGAACTTTTAACTGAACCTGTATCCTTAACGTTTATTTTTTGTAATAGATTTTAAAAAACCCTAATACGTTGGTGTAATTTTTCATGACATTTCATTGAACCAATCAGCGATCCGATTATCTCTAGTGTAGACGCAATGGTTTATTACTGTTTATTGTAAACGAATCATTATGACCGATGACGCTAAATTGATATTTGTGCATTTTTCAGTAGCGTCCGTTATTGGTGTCTGTTATTGTTTCTATTCAATTTTTGATATCGTTTTGTTGTTTTCTATTTGCTACATTGAAGTCGTACATATTTCGCAGCTAATTTTTTTTTACGCTTCGCCAGATTACTGGTTAAGTGATAAAAGAAATAACATTTTGAGGTTACTTAATATATTTTTTTATTTCAGTACGTATTATGCCTTTTCCTTCAGAATAAGATGCTTCATTTTCGAAGTGAAACGCGAAATGAAGATGAGTCATGGACATACTCTTTGCAATCTTGCATTCAGTAATTTATGAGGGGATTTCTAGACGAAAATATTAACTATGACACTTTCTTAAACCGGAAATGTGCTATTGTCAAAAGATTTGAAACCGAACACTGCATTTGCAAAGGACAATCTATGGGCAGACCAACTGTACCTACAGAAAATGTCTGATAATATACAGCAATAAATAATCAAAGTCCTATAAAGTCCGTAACAAAGTTGTCTGCGCAAACAGGTAATGATTTTTATAGGTTCGTGCAAATATTCTCAAATTTCTGCCTCGAAAATATTTTAACTTTGAAACTTTTATTTTAATTTGAGATTAGATTGAAGTATGGTTAATATCCTAAAATTTTAATTTTAGGACTTTCGGTTAGAATATGTTATAAAGCTTTAAAAAACAACTGCATTTACACCCATATAAGGTAACTGTTGTGCAGGAATTACTTCCGAAGACTACGGCAGACGATCACAGTACTGTGAGTGGTATACATATATAGAAAATATGAATAATAATTTTTTTGAACTGTCGTTTTTCACTCACAAAGCATGGCTTCACATATCAGGTTATGTAAATAGTCAAAATTATAGAACCCTGACTGCAGAAAATCCTTATATATTTGTAGAAATCTATTTATATCCCTTAAATGTAGGCGTTTGGGTAGCGATGTCAAGAAGGCGGAATAACGAGCTTTTCCTTACCGTGTTCAGCATGCATTTATGGGCGAAGCTATCTCAGATTCAAAATTGCCAAATTAAAGTTCTTCCACAAAACGGTTTTCAATAGGCTTGACGTCACATACTAGATGCAAGCTCTAAATCGCCGCACCTATATCTTATTCCTTCTGGACGAATACTTTCTTCCTCAATCTCGCGCAGATGGGACATCAGAAAACCAGCAGCAAATGAACAAATAGTGTTTGACTTTCGAGCATCTCTGTTAAAGGATTGCGATGGCCGATTATAAAAAGTGGACTTAATTTCATGTTGGTCATCAGTAACATTCATGTAAGTCATTGATTAAAGTCGATTCATTGCAAGTGTCTTGTAGTTGATCCTTGAGGCACCTCAGAAGTAGTATTTAGTTACGTGGACAAAAGATCTTGTATTTTGTGATCTGATACCTATCAAGTGGTAACATCTCGGACCAGCTGTCGAGATCTAGACTCGCCGAGCCCCCGCAGGCGCTGATTAATGCAGGGCGTCGTCGCCGTCAACGTCGTTTCCTAGCACCCGGCGACGTCGTGTAATCGAGATATCGATCGGGCTCTAGTTTGCTCTCGGGCCTACAAAGGGCGGCCGACACTATCGACGTGGAGGGTCAAGCGGAAAGAATTAGAATAGCTGGTGTTCGCTGCAGTCCATACATTGTTTATACGGCAGGAAACACGGGGACATATTTGGGTCAGGCCGGAAGTTGACTCAGGAACTAATGCAGCGGCAATCACAGGCACAATGTGCAATAACTGCGCGAATAAGAACGTTGTAGAAGCGTTAGGGATCTTGTAGCGTATTCTTGACTAAAATAGTCAAATATACAGGGTGTTTCATAGGTACAATTCTAAAATATACCTTTTTAGTGACGTCACATACGCCAAATAATAGGCAACCCCACAGTGCAGATTGTCATAAAGAATTTCTCAATATTTTTAACAGATCAATTTTCGACCTTAAGTACTTTGGACATAAGTGCTAAAAAAATGGCTTCTCTGTCATGACCTTTAATATCGCGATATTCTGGCAATATTAGAAATATTTAAGAAGTTTCAAACCACAAGTGACAAACTAATAGAATTATAGAATTTATACTGAAATATGATTTCAATGTGTGTGTTGATTTTAATTTTAATTTTTAATTAAGCTGTAAATTGTTCAATACAAACCTCTACTATCTTTTATGTTTTACCTTGTACTTTATTATCCCTGGCCAGCTGTTAGTAGACACTTGTTACATGTCAGACGATATCAGAAAACCTCAGAAGTTGGTTCTATATTTACACACAAACTAGTACAATGCCTTTTGCAAAATTTGCCTTTTTTTCCGCGCAGCTTACAAACAATATGAGGAATAATTATAAAAAAAATTAACTATTACCTAACTAACTTTATTTGATCTATGTAATACTGAGTACGTCTCCTTATATTATTTGTTGCCTAACAGACAGGGGCATCTCTTATACCTAAACAGGAACGAAAATGACTGTTCATTTGACAGATTTTGTCAGAGCTCGTGAAAATAGTGAAATATTTAAGGTACAATTGATTGGATTACGCTTATTTCTGTACAGGTAAGTCCTGTGGTTTGTTATTTATACTTTTCAAAGATTTGATGGGAGAGAAAGCTTGATTTATTGGTGATAGCTAGCAAAATTATAGGGCACTGTGTTTTAGGTACCTGGTACGTTGTAAAAATTGAAGTTTTCTTGCTTTGGAACTGCTTTATACTGCTGGTAACGGAACATTTTCATGAGATTACAAAATAACTTTCTCTGGACTCTGGCAAACTGTGGATTTAACTGGTGAGTGTTTAATTTTCTTTCTTGGACTGTTTTTTCTTGCCTTGTTTTTAATTTTTAGGGAGCTGCCTCTCCACGCTGTACATCTTGCAAAACCCAAGCCGTAACTAATCAATAATTTTTTTGTTTTTCTCATCCTTCCTGAATATTCTGTCCCTAGCTTTGCTTAAGGTCCATACACAGAATTTTTCAGTCTTTGGATGTCCTTTTCAATCACTTTTTCACAACACTACTTATAACTAACACATTTTTAACAAATGTCCTTTTATTTTTATATACAATTCTATAAATTAATTAATAAAATATTCTTTATTTTATGTTTTTTAGGTCATCTCCGGGTATTCTTACAAAGCCACCTTTAGCTTTGACATTTGTGAAATTTATTATAAAATTTGACAATTGATGAAAATTTTCATGTTATGGTTTATGTTGGATTGAGATATCTTCTTTAAGTTTACTCGTCTTCCAACGATATGTATACCAGATTAATCTATAGACTTTAAACTTTCATTCGATATAAGTCACTCTAGGTTTAGATTCGTTTTTCTCTATGTACTGAGTACTAACAAGTGTCGACGTCATGCATTTTATGAAAATTTATTCTGTACTTGAGAATAAAATTAAAAGATTATTAATTTTATACTATGTAATATCATTGATCATTACTAGTTTTATATCCAGAATATCCATATTAACAATTTTATATAAATTTGGTGTTGCTATAATAATAATTAAAATTTTTATACGACTTTAAGTTCGCTTCGGCAATATTTTCATACGAGTTTCTACATGAACATTTCAAATTCGTTACAATATATTTAAATTTATGGAACAATATTTTCATTTATAGTAATTAATAAATTAAAATTACAATGTTACTGAGCATGCGCATTAAAGATAACAAGAGAAAATACGCTAATGATAACATCGATAACATATCAACAGGATCTCACCTACATATGAGGCTATTCTTTCCGAGCATGAGCATTAGGAATAACACAGTTAATGTTAAATTTTTACTTTATTTAAATTTAGGAATATTCTTTTGTACCGTTTTTTGTAAGTTTTGTAATACTTCCAAAGTCTTGTAAAAATAAACTAATTTAAAGTTGTTCATTTTTATAGTATCTATGGAAATAGTAAAGAAGGGTCAGATTCGGTCTGCACAATTTCAACTATGACAATTTGTTGCGGGTTGCCTAAATATGTGACGTCGTACTAAAAGAATCTATTCATTTACTGCTTGTTGGTTATGTTCTGAGGAATATTAGTAGTTGGAATTATCTCTTCTTTTGCGCATTCACAAAAATGTCAATAAATGTATTTATATAAGTATTTTTTAATGAGTTTCTTAAAATTTTGTGTAAAGGTTAAGTGACGGGTTAAATCAAATCTTTTAGCAGAACTGATGAGAAAATCAAGCGGTTCTACTTAATCAAAACATAAATTTTTCCATTTTAAATAACAAGGTCACAAAGATATCTCCTATTAAGAACAAATGTGTCAGAGGTCATATCGTCGTAAATGAAAACTGTAGCAAATATTGTTTTAACTAGTTGCGTTCAAAATCTGCTACAATGAGGTGGTTGTTGTTTCTTTCAGTGCTCACCGTTGGTATGTTGATTTTACATTACTTACAACTATTTGTAGAATTATATCGATTTTTTGCAAATGTCATTTTTTAGATTTCGCGACTGAACTAATATATTATTAAAAATTATAGGGAATAGTTAGTAATCTGTCACAGTGGGTAATAAGAAAAGAATATTGTAAACGAACCCCTGTTGTTGAAGTCGCCAATGTTGTTCTTATAAGTGTGAATTAAAATATGGCAAATATTTGCTTATAAAATAATTTACACAGAAGTAGAAAATTATTTAGAATTAAAATAAAGTATGAGAAGAACTTTGCTTTGTTTTAATTCCTATAATATTTCAATTTTCTACTTCTGTGTAACCCATTTTAATTAAATAATAATACAAACTGTCAAACAATAACAATGTTGTCATGATATTACCTGTCACTGTCACGGCCTACCATATTGTCCATGAGTCATCTTAGGCCTAACTAGTGAGATTTAGTTAAAATACCTATACGCATTTTGAACCATATCAATGTCTGATCTGTCAAAATATATTATAACTAAATCTGTAAATCCTTACGTAATTGAAAAAAGGCAGAAATGCCTGAAAAAGGTATAACAATTACAAGATGTCTTATTTTCTCTATAAAAAAACATCTATTTGTTTTTTAATAGTATCTCGCTTATTGTTAGCGATGGACCCAACAAATCCTACATGACTATGCTCGACAGGGAACGTTCTATCCAAATATGTAAAAATAAACAGGGTGTCCCATTTAACTTAACAAAGTTAACATCCGCGGCCATTTTGTTTGGACTTCATTTGTCTTTCTACTATCATTTTCGAAAAATTCATAAAAACTCGTGCAACTTTTATATTTCACATTTTTTAAAAACCCCAAAAAAAAAAAAGTAGAATTACTGGTTCTGATTTGTTACATTTTTTTTCTATACTATTAGGTGTATGAAATAGCTAAAATCGAAAAGGTCTTTATGACTATTTATTCGAGGTTTAAATATTTAAAATTTCTAAGCAATTAAATTTATTTTTCAGGGCTTTATAGATGCGCAATAACTTCTGACGTAATTAAAGAGGAACATAGTAAGTAGTAGTAGTAAGTTAGTTCTAATTCTTAATTTGGAATAATTCTTCGTTTCTGTCTTCCAAGAGATTTTGTTTCTCTAAAGCGTTGCTCAATGTCGTAAAATGCAACTCGAGATGGAATTAGAAACCCGGGATGCAAATGAGCATACTCGACGCGAGCTGCATTCACATCACATTATTATTATTCTTGTAAAATAAACGGATAACTTCAAATTTTTCGTTGTCACCATTATTTCCTTATTAAAATAGTTTGTTATAGGAAATAAATCAAAGATGATAAATAAACTTGTCAAAGTCATTTGTTTGTAGCGCGTGCCTCGTCCATAGCCACTGCCATCCGTCAGNTTTTATAACTCTCAAAACAAAAAAGTAGAATTACTGGTTCTGATTTGTTACATTTTTTTTCTATACTATTAGGTGTATGAAATAGCTAAAATCGAAAAGGTCTTTATGACTATTTATTCGAGGTTTAAATATTTAAAATTTCTAAGCAATTAAATTTATTTTTCAGGGCTCTATAAATGTGCAATAACTTCTGACGTAATTAAAGAGGAATATAGTAAGTAGTAGTAGTAAGTTAGTTCTAATTCTTAATTTGGAATAATTCTTCGTTTCTGTCTTCCAAGAGATTTTGTTTCTCTAAAGCGTTGCTCAGTGTCGTAAAATGCAACTCGAGATGGAATTAGAAACCCGGGATGCAAATGAGCATACTCGACGCGAGCTGCATTCACATCACATTATTATTATTCTTGTAAAATAAACGGATAACTTCAAATTTTTCGTTGTCACCATTATTTCCTTATTAAAATAGTTTGTTATAGGAAATAAATCAAAGATGATAAATAAACTTGTCAAAGTCATTTGTTTGTAGCGCTTGCCTCGTCCATAGCCACTGCCATCCATCAGACATAAATTTCTCTCCTGTTTTTTCAAAAATTGTTTTAAACTGAAATATGTCGAAAAGTCCTGAATCAAACAGTAACATATTACATATTTTTGAAAAGAGAAAAATTTAACGAAGCTAAGTATGCACTAATATATTTAAAAAAATTTCTTTAATTTAGTGATTTCCATTATTCAATTGTTTTTCTAATACTGTATTATAAAGATTCATAAAAAAAGTTAAAACTTTTGTATTAAAAAATTTTGTAATTTCAATAATAAACTCACAATAAGTTGTCAGATTATAGTCACTAACCCTTTACACTCGGCAAAAAAAATAATGAAACAGAAAATTTTCCAAAGCTTTTTAGTGATATTTGAAAAGCTGTGACTTCGTGAATAATTGTTGTTCTTGAAGCTTGAAGATTCTAGTTTTGAAATCTTGAGATGAAATATTTTTTTGAGCATCACTTTCGGCGCAATCCAAAGAAATAACGCAAGGCAAAAATTTAACATTTTTTATTTCAACACTGCACATGGCCTCAGGGTCATTTAGTCTGATTCATCAGCTTCAATTTGTTTTTTTTTATGTATATACATATATACAATAAAAATAATATACTCAGAGTTTAATCTGTCAAATCCAGTATTAAAAAATAAAGAATAAAGAAACAATATTGATTTTCCAAACGTTAATTATAATAATTTAAATGCCTATAGTGATGCGTATTGTTTACTTTTTCATTGTGAGATTTTTGGTTAGGCAAAAACAGTAAAAATAACCCTTGACTGGTTCTTTTAATTCAAGGGCTTATTTGATTAATATTTACTTTCACCTCAAAAGTAATTGTTACATTTTATTAAAATTTGGTTATCATGTTTTCATTAAACTTTGACAAAAGTACATCTTTTTTGAATAGAATTAAACAGTATCTAAGAAATTGCACTGAGGGCTGCAAAGTCCTAACCTCCAAAAGTGATTTAAACCTTTCCAGGTTTGAAGCATGCCAACGTCCTGTATAATTCAATACGACATGTCGGTTACCTACTTTACGAAATATTAGCAAAATTCGTTTTAAAAGACACGTGGTTTATAGGAAAAAAATATTTTTCTTCATTTCTGTTTTCAGTTGGTACGTTAATTTGAATCAACTTGTATAGTATGTTATCAAAGAAGCGATGGAAACATAATTCTGAATGCAATAGCTTGATTAGCCTTCATAATTTCGCACTGTTTGTTTTAGACGTACTTTTTGAAAGTGGTAAACATGGACTTCTAGCATTTGTACCATCAAGAAAGAGAGTAACCCGTGAGATTGGTGGGGCGGGTAGCAAATTACCGCATATAGAAAATAGAATAAAAGAGCTGTGTGCCAACGACAAGCGACTTAATGTAAGTATAGTTAAGCCATAATGTAGGCAAATGTCATGATTATCCAGCGACCGATGCTATGGTAGGCACCGGCTTTGGTCTTTCCAAGACGGTGTTATCGCGAGAAAACATAATTCGAACATTTTAAAATTTCTTTTTACTCGCATATCAGTCCAATACTTTTCTAGGTATTATATTTATTCTAGTAATTTCATTTGAGCGTTCAAAATAAATCTAGAATAATACTCGTAATTTCTCATATCTGGTCTGCAACGAAAGTAGCCACGGTACCTATAATGATAGACAACAAACCCAACCACTTAATAATAATACAAATTACGACCATTAGAGAGCTTGTTATCATTATGGTGGTCGGCTGAACTGCTGAATTTAAATTCTAATTAGGAATTCAGTTTCGTTAGCAGAATGGAAACGTCGAACTTTAGATTTATACAGGGTGATTTTACTTTAAATATAGAAACAGTCGGGATATATTAGTTGCCAAAAAATAAGTAGAGTTTGCTCTATAAACTTTTTTCCTGGGGGACATGATATTCGAGATACAGGGTGTTCAAGTCTCCAAAAAATATTTTCGGTCAATCTTCATATTACACTGAACGATTTGAATCTAATTTGTTACAGCGTATTCACGTAATTAGACCTTTTATTGAATGTAATATTAACCAGTGGCGTGCTGCTGAAGGTGCCGCTCCGTTTTCCCAAGGAAAAAATACGCCACTGGCAGTTTTTTGTAGAAATAATGTTAATTTTAGGCACTGTTGCGTTAAATGAATGAACAGTGATTCTTTGTATTTTTTAATAGTAGCAACCGTTTAGGAAATTATTTACTTATTAGGCGACCTAATGCACAAATTTAGTATCTACTTATACAGTGTGTAAAATTATTTTCATTAAGAATTTGAATTTGGTGAGGTGTGTTAAAAAATTTGATGGCCCAATAATTAGTACCGACCCGCGTTTTACTAAGTCTTAGAAATTTATTACATTCTCCTTCGGGTATTATAAGAGTGAGTCTCACTTCTGATTTCAAACTTATGTATATGTTTTTTGACATAAATAAGACATTGAAGTATATATGCACAGGGTACAGTTAGTATGTTCAATTTAGAAAACTGCTCTCTACAGCAAGGGTCGGCAAGTAATTTTAGGTGGAGTCCGAATACATTTGAAAATTTTTAACGAGGTCCAGAAAAAAACTCATATTCCTTACTAATTTTTTGTTTTAATTTACACTCACAAAATAATATGATAGATAGGCATATTTGTATTCAAAAATCAATTGTTATCTATAGAAAAAATTTTTTTTAAATAATTTGACTTTCAAAAAATTTTTGGCGATCCAGTTTTTATCTTTCGCGGTCCGAATCTGGACCGCGGTCCGACAGTTGCCGACCGCTGCTCTACAGTCATCTCTAAAACAAAGGTCAGATATGACTCTAATCATTATTCTCTGAAGAGTAAAAACTATTTTCATAGAGGGAGCATGACCCCATACTAAAATAGCATATATTATGATGGAATGGATATATATAGCCATGATAAACTATCAGAAAGCTTGATATTGAGACTCTTCGTTTGAGACTCCGGAGTAAATAAGTATGTTTTGATATCTTGGAGCAAACATAATTAACACGTTCATCCCATGTCAGTTTAGGGTCAAGATGAACTCCCAAGAATTTTACACGTGCTGGATTATCCCAGTTTTCCATATTCCGGAGGCTAAAAATCATAGTTTCGGTCTTCGAAGTATTCATACTGAGTTGATTACTAGTAAACCAGTTTTCTACCGATGCATGTTGGTCATAAGTTCATGTCATTAACTGTTCAAAGTTTAAGTTAGTTCTAGTTATATTGGTATCATCAGCAAAGGGTATACTTTTATTATCATGAGGTAAACAATAGGAAAATCATTAATATATATCAGAAACAGTAACGGACCCAATATGGAACCATGTGGAACTCCATGTTCAATATTTTTTTGTGGATGGGATGATTTCACATTATTATTTACAACATACTGTAATCTATTACTCAAATATGATCTTAATAAATCCGAACTGTACGATGAATAACCATAATTATGTAGCTTATGTGTAAGAATTTCGTGTGATACACAATCGAAAGCTTTTGTTAGATCTAAAAATTGACTAGCAACGTATTTCCCTTCTTCAAAACTTTTGTTTATTGTGGATGTTAGACAATCTATGGCTAGTCTGGTCGATAGATTACTTCGGAAACCGAATTGTTGAGGATTGAAAAGTCCCTGAGTCTCAAAATAATTAGTTATTTGTATTTTTAAGATAGTTAATATATTTTAGCTAGATGAGGTATTAAAGAGATAGGTCTGAAATTAGAGGGATTATTAATATCATTATTTTTATAAATAGGAACAACCTTAGAAATTTTTAAACATTGGAGGAAAATATTTTTACGTATACAATAATTAATTAAATCAGTGCAAGGTATTAATGTTGGGTTGATGATTGATTTAAGTGAATAAGCTGTAGTAAATTTCATTCAATTTCGTCATCGCATTATGAAGACATAGCAGAAAATATATATTTTTTGTAAACTTTAACACCCTGTATCTCGAATACCGAGTCCCGCAGGAAAAAAGTTTATAGATCAAACTCTACTTATTTTTTGGTAATGAATCTAGTCCTGCAGTTTCTGTATTTAAAGTGAAATCACCCTGTATAACAATAATAAGATTTTCTTAATATTATTTAATACTTTTTTAATACATTTCTTATTATTATTTAATACTTTACTATGTACTTTAGTAATACCTCCTCACTTTTTAAAAAATAAGCTTTTTTTGTGAATCTAATTTCAATATTGCTAAGTATATTGGGATACAATTTTTACTATTTTAACAAAACGGGACCAACGCGGACCTGATATTTTCCCGGGCCGGTTTACCCATACCTCATCCCTCCCTGTGATTAGGTGCTTATACGTACAAATATGTTTTAGGATTCTATGGCGACCATGAAAACATGTCTGAAGAAAAAACCAGTATTTCTGACCCCGAGGGACGAATTTATTGAAAATATTGATCACTGTAGCGTGGAAACTAGGAACGAGTTGCGAAAATGCTTGCCAGAGAAATTAAGGTACTTTCCGGACTTCTTTTTCAACCTGGTGGACTCTGTAGTGAAGTTGCTGTACGATGATTTCGGTGAAATTGCAAGTAAGTAGAACTTGTCTATTTTAGCGGTTTTAATGCTTTTACAGTCCGTGCTGATACTTTTACTTCCTCAGCTTTAGATGGATTTTGGATATATAGACTTCTCAAACTTTTCAACAGGGTTAACCACGAATTATTAGTACCTATATAGGCGAGCGGTTCATCCCTAAAAAGATGCTTCGAAATGAAGATAACCGACTAAATTTTTAAAACAAAAACCTACAGCATGAATCTTTTTTTATTTTATAAAGTGTATTTTCCTGATAATTTACATATATTTTTTTTATATTTTTCGGCGTGGTCAGTCAATTGTTATAAACAAAAAAGTTGTAAAAAAAATTACTCGCCGAATGGCTTTGAAAATTATTTAATCTTGTAAAATGGACCAAAATAAACACTTTTTGTTCTTTGACAAAAATTCGAAAAATGCACCGTTTCCGAAATATTTATAATTTAATGTGAAAGTGACGAAATCGACAAACTCTCGGAAATTTTTTCTCAAAAACTAAGTACTGAACAGAGTTTAATTCTAAAAAAAGCATAATAATCAGCAGATCTTCTACTTTAAGATATATTTTTTGGTATAGGTCAATTATTTTATTGAAGGTCTAAAGCGAGTAAAAAAACATCTTTTAAAGAAAATCATGATAAACGTACGCATCAAAATGACGGCGTCAGTGGCGCTACGTCGCGCGGGAAACACTTCAAACTCAAATTTTCTTTTTACAATATCTTGGATTAGATTATATTTACAGTAAACATAATGTTATTATGATATTTTTAATCGATATGACAATAACATTTAATGATTCAATCGGCTAATGCGGAAATAGCCATAATTTTTCCTACATTTATAAAAATTATATATAATTTTTGCAATTATTTTCAAGCTTTTTTTAATGCAAAAATTATTATTTATGATTAGAATTATATTACTATTAATGTTACAATATTTTAAACAATTATACTATTTGATTATACTAAAAAAAATAATTAAACTCTTCGTCAAGTAAAAAATAAAAGTTTTTTCGAAATTAGCGCCTTACTTTTTTGTTCTTAATCATAACCTCTTATTATACCTGTACATACTATAGCAAAAATTAATGGGCCAATAAAAAATAAGAGTATTTTAATAATGCATGCTATCAGTCGCTGTGATACGACATGTTCGATATCTAATATTGGAAAAAAGACTGCTTTAATGGCTTTAAATAAACTTACAAATGATGAATTGAAAATGTTTGCTAAGTTAGAAAGTTTAACTTTAGAAGATGCGCTTGAAATTTTGACGTTATATTTATCAAAAATTTATTATTCTCAAAATAAATGGAAAGATTGCTCGAAATCAATAAATAAATTAACATATAATTGCTTTAAAAAAATTGCTGCAAGCGACAGATTGCCACCCTCGTACCCAGAAATGTTATGAGGTCAAAATGGCAAGTAAGTGAATGGAAGCAGGCTACAAATAGTGAAATTGTAACTCTTGATTCATTGACACATGGATGGAAAATCGAAAATGGTTGTTTGGATATTAATTATTTCGAAGGAGAAACTGCGTTAGATATGCTTCACAAATATTTTTGTTATGTAGTGGAAAATGTTCTACGAAAAATTGTAACTGTCATCGAACCTGGAATGCTGTGCAGTCTGTGCGTGCTCAGATGAGTGTCAGAATGTTCCATTCGAAATTGATGATGAAACGCTTATTTTAACTCAAAGAAAATTAAATAAAAAAGAAATTAATATACTTTTATTGCTCTTAATATTTTTGTAAAATAAAAATAAAATAATTATCCTATACAATAAATTATCCAATAACTTTTTTATTTTTCGAGACCGCTAGGTCAATTATTATTATTAGGTTAATTTTACGATTTAAAAAGCTTATTTAGTTTAGTTTCAAGTCAGTTTTAGCCATTTATAAAACCAAAAATCGAATATTAAAATTTTACTAATTACCTGCAAAAACCTTACTCCAGCTACAAAACCAAACACAATGATCTTTTGCACATTTGTACTGTTAACATATATTGATAAAAAAATCATAATAATGTTTATTGTAAATATAATCTAATCCAAGATATTGTAAAAAGATAATTTAAATTTGAAGTGTGATCATAATTTTCTTTAAAAGACTTTTTTTACTCGCTTTAGACCTTCAATAAAATATATCTTAAAGTAGAAAATCTGCCGGTTATTAAGTGTTTTTATAGAATTAAAATCTGTTTAATAGTTTTTGAGAAAAAAAATCCGAAAGTTTGTCGATTTCGTCACTTTTAAATTATAAATATTTCGGAAACGAAGAATTTTTCGAATTTTTGTCAAAGGACAAAAAATGTTTATTTTGGTCCATTTTACAATAAAAACTGTTTTCAAAGCTATTCGGCGAGTATTTTTTTTTACAATTACAAATAAAAAAGTTCCATGTTGTAGGTTTTTATTTTAAAAATTTAGACGGTTCATGCCTTTTTTTTAGGGATGAACCGCTCGCCTAATATCATTTGTTTCATACAATGGTTTTAAATCCAGTACTTTCTTAGCTACTTCTGATATGCCTCAAGGATCTAAACTTGGGCCATTTATGTTTATTTGACTTATTAATGACTGAAAAAATCTAGGCATTTTTTTTAGATAAATTATTATATTTATTCTTTCTGTCCTGTAAATGAAATATTTCTGTTGGACAATAAACGCAGTGTTATTAAATAGTGTCTGTTAAAGAACGGATAGAAATGGTGTGCAATGATGCGAATATAATTTTACATGTGTATTTTAGGGGGATTAGCTCCTTGCGTATCGAAACTGAACGAAGAACCAAGTAAAACTAATTATGAAAAATGCCTAAAAAGTACTGGGGAAGATATTCAGGAAGAAATCCTAGAATCGAAAGAAAAATTTTGTGGGTAAGTACATATACATCTTCTTATCTTAAATATGATACATATATTTTAATCGAAATAAATATTTTTGCAATTTTGAAAATGTTCCGGACCTCGCCCAGATCTAGGGATTTACACCTTTATTATGTGAGTTGTACAGAAGGTAATCCAGAAAAAAATTGCTTGCCCCCTCTCCTATCCACTTCAAAACAGATCCGCTCTGGTCTATCAAAGAATAAAAAATTTCTTAAAGCTGTTTTACATTGACAATTTATTGATCAATTAATTGATGAAGTCGGTTCATCAAGAAATTGGACAAGTGTAATGCACCAAATCAGCTGTCAAATAACTGCATGAATTTATTCACCAAGTTCTTGACGAATTAGAGCATGTTCTAATTTTCGTCAATTTCTTCGTGAAGTTCGGAAGTACCAACCCAACAGATTTCCAGCCTCAGATCAGTAATGAAGTTATGTTATTGGAATATGTAAATAATTGTGTGGCGTCGCACTAGTTTTGCATTGTTTTTATTGATTTACAGTACAGTACAACACTAATATTTATATAATATGTGTCAGAACGGTGCCCCTGTTGTATCACTACAATTATGAGTGGAAAGGTGACATTTTTGAAATTTATTTGCTTCTTTGATTCATTGGTAGAACTGATTCATACGTCAAAAAACTTGACAAAGTCTGTAGCAGTGTAAAACCACACTGTTTATTAATAAATTCGTGAATTAATTGATGAAGAACTTCGTCAATTTATTGATGAATAAATTGTCAATGTAAAACAGCTATAATTCGTCAAGAACTTAATGAATAAATTGATGAAGTTATTTGACAGCTGATTTGGTGCAAATTGTCCAATTTCTTGATGAAGCGAATAAATTGTCAATGTAAAACAGCTTTTAGGACCTTAGTAATCAATCAACAATGTTGGGGTTGTCTGCACTGGTAATCCTCAACCGTTTTTACGAAATTTATACACCCACAAATGGACAAACATTGAATGAAGCAAAGGGAGAGCTATTTCTATCAAGACGAAAAGGAACTTTATAAAAATACCTACCAGCAAAAGTAAACATTTGGCAAGCCAATGAAATTATCATATAATGAAAAACTAAGTCATTCCCGTTGTGAAGATATTGCTCTGTTGAAAGCCATTATGATTTAAACAATAACGTTGCTACTAAGTTTTTGTAAGTCGCAGTATTTTTAAAGAGCGATAGATGCAAAATTTCATGAAAAAGTAAAATAGACATATTTCTATTGGATGCTTCGGGATAGGTGCTGTTAAAAATTACTCTAATTTTTGGCATGTGTGGAATTTGCAGGAAAGCTAAAATTGATAAAACTTGAAGCAGATAATATTCAAGATGGGAAGAATCACTTCTAGTAAGAGATGAAAAACTAAAAGTAATAGAATATTTGTGGTGGTATTCATTCTTCTTTATAATATAAGTAATTTGTATTTTACAAAAATAACAAATGTTCGGGTTGTTCGGAAAAATTTGGTCGAATGTAAAACTTCCAGAAGGCTAAGCCTAAGACTGAAGGCTTCACAGGGTATTGTTTTGGCCGCTGTTTTGTCACTCTTTTGGTGAAATAGGACGAAATTAACATAGACGTAAAGCACTACGCGGTAGATGGAACTTTTTTTTCTGGAAAAAAGAAAGTTCATCTCAACCCAGGGTGAGGGATTAAGAAATAAATACAATACAGTTATTGTCAGAATTGAACGTTCAATGAATGAAATGAAATCTAGAGATGAACAGTCAAAAATTCAGACCTATTTTTTCATACAATCAAACTTTATAACAAATAATAATTTAGTGTTGCTATTGCTAATTTTAAGGTAGAGGGTTCTTCTGCAAACAAACTATCCAAATTAACTTTTTATTATTTTTATATTAAATTAAATAAAGGTGTTGGCTTTGAAAATATCTTGTAGATGCAATTTAACATGCAACTATGGTAGTTATGGATTAGAAATAATTTCAAGTTTCTTATTTTGGGAAAAATGTAATGTCTTGTTTGTGGTATAGTTCTAGTTTTTCTCTATTTATTTTGGTATACTGCCATCTGCGAAAAAAAATAAAAAGTCAATGAAATTGCGCCAAAAAGATCGAAAGGAGGGTCATTGTTATGAAACCATAACTTCGTTTTCAAGTTGTATGATTAAAAATATCTATTTGCAAAAATCTGATGACTCGTAAACACATTACGGAAAAATTACAAGAATATTTTTTATTTAAAATGGAATAAATAATCAAAAAATCTTTTTCGATTTTTTTTAAAAGTTTTGTTGGAATTTCAACGCGCTCGCGCTCTACGAAGTATTTTTGAAAAAATTGTGTATGACTTGTATACCTTCAGAGTTTGTCGGTTTATATCAATTACACATTGGATTTTTTATTTCAGCAAATTTCTGGAGGCCGCAAACTGTTTTATTAAGCAGCTCAATGACACGTGTACTACCAACGAGGATCTAGAAAAATTCAAAAAGGATTATATTGCGGCTGTAAAGCGTCCTTGCAAATAAATTATCGGTACGCAATAGCTATTCTGTGTTAATAACGTAGATTTTTTTGTTAATAATGTTATAATACACAAATAAAAGCAAGTGTACCATTTGTTTAATTTATTGCATGTTGTTCCCTTTTCCGTTTATTTTTCTTCTACTAAAAATCTTCCACCAAATATTTAAATAATATATTTTTAATAAGAGGTTTCCAACAAGTTTAAAAGCAGCTCTTTATTTTTTAAACAAACAAAATTTGTTGTTAAAATAAGGAGCTGCTATCGAGAATTTCAAGTTTGCGTGTATAGAGAGTTCAAGAAATTAATATGTGAGTAAAATTTCTTTATTTTTATCGATACGAAAATTGATGTTATTGAAGAAATAGGTACCTTTGAAGTAGAATATTATGTAAGGACCTATGGTCTTTTTTAAATTTAATTTTTTTAATTAACAGTTATCTGTAGTATATGGACACACATGCTGTATATAAAATAAAGTAAAAAAGAAGAATAAAGAAGAAAAAGCAAAGAAGAAGAAACTTGGAGCGATGTCAGTTTTTATAATAACACAGAGCAGCACAATTTGATTTTTTTCCTAGTTTAAAACCATAATAACCTATAAACAATATCCTCCTAAACAGTCTCAAAAAAAAAAAATACATATGTACCATCTAAAAATCACATTAGCGGTAGAAGGATCAAATAGTCGTTGGAAAATAATTGAATGTTCGTTATTTAAAGTGCATAAATGTCAATAAGAATAAATAAAAGGATTAAACTCGAAAATTCTTTAATACAGTTAAAACAAAAGGTGATGATTCATACTATACAGGGTCGGAAAGTCCCCATGGTTCATCGGCCGTTACGTGAGAGCGATAAAGTAAGTCATAGAAATCCGTGCGATAGAGGAAGATGGTTATAGTGAATGCGTCTAATAGTCACCGCCCATTTCGCCCTTCCACAAATAAGATCCACTTCTTATTTGTGGAAGGGCGAAATGGGCGGTGACTATTAGACACCTTCATTATAGCTATCTTTCTCTATCGCACGGATTTCTATAACTTACTTTATCGCTCACGTAACGGCCGATGACCCATGGGGACTTTCCGACCCTGTATATTACAATCTATTCTCTATATGACCTCCTCTCAATTCAAACCACATATTTTCCAACGACTACTTGATCCTTTCACCACTAATGAGATCTTTAGGTGGTATTTCTTTTGAGACTTTTTAGGACGACATTGCTTCTAACTTTTATACAGGAAGTAATACAGAAAAAAGTAATACAGATTGAGGTCTGGAGATCTAGCTGGCCAAATGTGTGGCCCACCTCGACCGATCCAGCGACCAGGCTAATGCTCATTTAGGTGAGCAGTGACAATTCGGGAAATATGAGGTGGAGCTCCATCATGTTGCAAGTACATTCTTAATCGTCTTGCCAGAGGTACATCTTCAAGCAATCGCGGGAGTTCTTCCTCTAAAAATTGTAGATACTTTTGTCCATTAAGACGACCTTCAATAATAAATGGCCCTATAAGTTGATCGTATAACATTCCACACCACACATTAACGCTAAATCTACGTTGAAAAATACTTTCTACGGTGGCATGAGGGTTGACGTCCGACCATTGATGCATGTTATGGGTGTTGTTGATACCGTCTCTGGTAAATTGTGACTCATCCGTAATTAAGATGTAGCGATACAAATTTCTATTATTATTCAACCACTGACAAAATTCTATCCGCCTAGGGAAATCTTCTGGCTCCAGATGTTGAACACGCTGTAGATGGTATGAATACAACAGATTCTTGTTTAATGTTCTCCATACTCTGGTATTGGGAATCACTAAAGGCGTGGATATCCGTCGTGTACTAACACCGGGATTACGCTCGGCCATAGCAAGGATATTCTCTTCTTCTACAACACTCTGCTGATTTACCCGTTCGTAGTGAATGCGAACACTTCGAAGTGAACCAGTTTCTCGAAGTGCATGAAAAGTTGTGGTAAACGTTTTCGGGGAAGGAATACGACGATTTGGGAAACGCCGTTGATATTCCAGTGAAGCTGGAGTAGCATTTCCATCGCAATTACCCAAAACAAACACCATATCGGCATACTCAGCAGTCGTAAACTTAAAAGGCATTGTTCGCGAATTTGCAAAATTGAATCTTCACACTAAACTGCAAGCTTGTCAAAACTGACAGTAACCTAGATAACATTTTACCTTGCAAATGTCGTCAGAGCACACTTGACCAATGTGTAGCGCGCCGAGACGTAACGCAACAAATTTGATTATTACTTTTTACATTTAAATTTCAAATTCATGTAGCTCACAAAGTAAAGCAAATCGGACACATGTTTATATAAACTTTTTTTCTAGAAATAACCCAAGGAACATCCTCTATTAGTGCCGGGAGAACTTCATGAAACACCCGGTATACCAATAAAAACATCATACCTAAACATTATTAAGAAGGACAAACGATTCTGCTAATTATTATTTTTTAAGTAATAAGGTCAACGAGATATTTTCAGTGAACATGGCTTCCTTCCAAGTATCATTTAATAATCTGTATGTCAGAGGTCATGTCGCGTTAGTTAAAAATGAAATTAAATGTCGTTTTCCGACGAGTTGTTTTGAAATTTTGCCAGAATGAGGTACTCATTGTTTCTTTCAATTTTCACCATCGGTAAGTAGATACGGAATTATTTTATTGTTTTAAAAAGTGTTTACAGATATTTATTTAACTAAAACAATATATGCACATATACATATACCTAGGAAACATTGATATAACCTTTTAAAAATCTATAATGGATAAGTGATTCTAAAATTTTAACTAAAATTTTCATAAAATGCTCGAATATGTCAGTTTTATTATTTGAATGTGACCAAAATTTATATACAAAATAATTATTTAAAACTTCTAAGCTACAAATAATTTACAGGGTTCTGCGCAGGTAATTCGCCTTGTTCAATTAAAGATGATCCACAACTTGAACAGAAATATATGGTAAAACTATTTTTATGTTCATATTTAAGCAAATTATTATTATTATTTCTTTCAATTATTTCGTACTGGTGTTCTTCTAGACAGCCTTCATAAATGTTTAAAAGCCATGTGACCGCTGAGCATAGGCAACCCAACATTGCACGATTCGTACTGGTAAATAAAATTCCCTAAATTTTGGCGTCATTAGTATTACTGACTTGTTTACAATGAACAATGACAAACCGCTACGTCTAGGCGCGACATAATGCGATTGCTGATTGGTTGAATAGTTAGTACCTCGTGAAAAATTACACCAAAAACAGAAAAAGAAACGGAATGTTGCGTTTTAATGTGATCTTGATCTTATTGTTCTAATTTTACGAAAATTTAATTACCCACGCGAAGGAAATAAAATTACTGTTCCAAATAAAATGGCTGGTCACGTGGCTTGTAATAAATTATGACAGCCCTGTATATGCCACACACGTTACAAATACTTATATAGAAGACTAATTTATATAATTATTTATTTATACAAGTAAATATTGTATTAACAGAAACAACTTTTCTAATAACGTCTGTATTACAGGATGCTTTGTTAAAATATACCAGGTGTTACTGGAGTTTCCTGACCATCATTGATTTTCAGTCTGAAAAAAGAGTGGAGTCTTTATTAAAAAATGGTAGTGTTTCTGAAGACCTTAAAATAATTTATAACTTCGCCAGTGCAGCTCCAGATTGCGTTAGACACATAAATGAATTGGGAGCCGCGTGTTTGCCCTTAGAAGGGATAAATTACATGAACAGAACTCAAGCGGCCTACAGTCGAATATTGGAATATATGTTTGGGAATGATTCTCAAAGGACCATGGGTATGTGTATTTTAGTTGACAACAGTAGTCTTAAGAAATATTTATTTCAGTATTGTTGGTTATTTTGGATTTTAGATCAATCTCGTGGAAAAAAAATCAGTTTACACAATCGTCAATTCCTTGATTTTAGAGTTAAATAAATCATAATATAATAAACTTAATTTACTAACAATGCAACCTCGATGAGTTGGTAAATGTGACAGTTTAAGTACATACATAGAAAATAATGAAAAACTTATTGGGAACCTCTGGAATCGTTCCCGGTTACATACTACATAAAAAGAGGTGAATATTTGTGGGCGTAAATGGCGTATCTTTGGTTTCTTTGTCCCGTGGTTTGTAGTGAATACGAACATTGTTAGTTCAGTTTTAGGTGGTCAGCAGTGTCTGTGTGGTGTATGTCCCTAACAAATGAATTAAAATTGTCCGTCAATACAGTAACAATAAATTAATGGACATGGCGATAACGTGTTAAAATGCTAATGAAAACTGTGAGTGAACAGTACATATCTACTTCCATTTAATGCGGATTTGCCCTTGAGAACAGATTAGTCACTTGGTGCCAGGTCAGGCGAATAAGGCGGATGGTCTAACACTGAGAAGTTCTACTTGGCTGGAAACGCCTTGACAGACAATGCAGTGTAAGCCGGTGCGTTGTCCTGATAAAGAACTCATGACTTTTTTCCACAATTCGGGTCTTTTTTTCTTATACTTTTAAGCAGTTTAGCAAGAACCTTGAAGTAGTAATGCTGATTAACAGTTTGACCTTCAGGAACCCAATGAAGGTACACAATTTCGTGGATATTGAAAAAAAAACAATCATCATTGCTTTGAATTTTGATTTGCTCGTTCAAGCTTTCGCTGAATTTGGGCTCTTTCAATGGCATTTGATGTGTCACTACAAATATTTTCCCAAGCTTGTTTTTGTTCGATTGTGCGAAAAATTTTCTAGTTTCAGCAATAGCACTACGGCCAGATCGGATCAGATTAGCGATTTTTTCAATATTTTTATCCGTTTTTGACGTGTATTCTCGGCCATCTTAGAAACGCTTAAGCCACTCAAAAATCGACGCATGGATAAACATTCATTGCCATATACTTCTTTTAATAAAAGATAAATTTAATTTGCGGTTCTTCCATGTGCAATTTCAAGACAATTCGTTGCTCTGTTATAAAAAAAATACAACACTTATCATTTCTCCGGCAGAACAAAAATAGATCTTTCACAAACGAAGGCCAGGGCCAAACTAGTATGTCTGCAGATATGACAAAGACGGCAACTGTCGTCGTACGATTTTGACGCATGCGTAGTTCGTCTGTAGCAGCATCAGTCTCGTTATTTTATAGCCACACCTCGTATATAATATTACTTTTAAGTTTAAGCGGAGTTTTTTCTTCTGATAGGTAATATTTTTTAAATGTTTTTTTTATTACGATTACTTCGTAAACTTTTTGATATTTTCCGAAATTTCCTAGCATCTATTAAGACTGACAGAAATAAATAATTAGACTATACTTATGGTTTATACTTATTATGTACCTGAACTGTCAACTGAAGTAATGAATAAGTAATTGGTTGTCTTTCCACAAGACTGACCTAAAATCCACAGTAACTAACAAATATGAACTAAATATATTAAGAAAACCTTTTCCAATAATTAAAAAACATTGCCTGAGATTAGTTATTTGTAGCACACTTTTAGTGTTATAAAAATTATAAAATGGTCAGTCAAATATTTGTTTTTATGGAAATGTTTGCTTAACCAAAAATCTTACACTGAGAAAAGCAGACAAATAAAAAATAATATCATTACTTCATTCAATATGTTACGTGTTTTTATATGAAGTATTTTTGTAGATATTTTAAATTTATCTGTGTAATAAGCTTTTTCTAATAAAAAAAATATATGTAACTCCAAAATGTTTTTTTTTTAAATAAAGCAGAATATTCTTTTTCTTACAAACATTAGATATTAAATACGCTTATCTTATCTGCAAAATATTTGGCGCCGTAGTTTGTTATTCTTACGTAACGTTTACACTTACTAATTTTATAGGGAATGTTTATATTTCAAGAAAATTACATTACCAAAATATTTCAGATTTCATTGAAAGTCGGGGTTTTCCGTGCTCTATCAAAGAAAAATTGTTCCAAAAATGTTTCAAATCTCAGCCCTACTTTCCTATACCTTTAGTCCGGCAAGAAGAGTCCGTTTCCTTAACAGATAAAGAAGAACAGAGCTGCAGGTGAGTTGTCAACATTTTTACTCTGTTTATCACATAATGAGATGAGAAGAACCTTCATTCAATTAAACTTTTTCAAACGTTTGGCTTCTTCAGGTTTTATGGTGATGTTGAAACTTGTATGGAAGATTTGATTCCGCAAAAGTGTCCAAATGCAACAACTTATATACCTGACATGATAGAAATAATAAAGACTACGGTTTGTGTATCGGAAAATATACCATCCAAAGCAAAAGGTGAGAAAATAGCTAGAGTAAAATTCTTTTACTATAAGTGCTCCATTTTGTTTTAATTTCAATGGTAAGGTGATAGTTAATAACGTTAAGAGTTAGTACTTTTTATAAATAACGAAGGGTAATTTGAGAACTTTATTACAGATTGTAATAATAGAAAGTAGTATAATTTTAAAAAAGCGTTAATCAGATTTTCTTTTCGAAAAAAAGTCAAAATATCACTATTTACAACATTGTATACTCTATCTTCCAGTAGCAAAAATGTCAATACTGGGCTGCCTCAAGGGGCAGTACCGTGTCCTCTATTGTTTATAATTTTTCTAATTGATCCAGAGCATCATTTGATCAAAAACATTAAATTAATTTTATATGCAGATGATGTCACTGTTGGGCTATCATCCGACTCCACTGAAGAATTAAATTAAATGGCATGCAAGTTGATAGGTGATATATTCTGCTTGTGGCGTAAAAATAATAAATTGGTATTAAATCTTCAAAAATCGACGTACACACATTTTTCTAAATGACGCGACCAATCTATATTAAATATTAATCTCAAAAACATTGGTCCTCAATCATCTGTAATAAATTGATGGGCTTATTGTTAGAAGAAAATTTTATTTGGTCTAATCATTTACGTAGATTTAATTTGTAGCAAGTTAAACTTCGTATTTTTCGCGTTACGAAATCTAAAGTCAATACTATCCAAACTAGGGTTGTACAAGGCCATAGTACAATCCTAGTTTGGATAGTACTGGCTTTAGATTTAAAATTAGTTTTCTCTATCTCTTAAAATAAAAAAGTTAGACGGCCCCAAACTTTCGGTACTTTTCTGTTTTTTTTCTGATTACTCATAAAGTTGGCTATGGATCTCAAATTTGTTTTTACAAGCATCAAGGCCTCAAAAAATGCAACAAAAAACATAAAGATATTTGACGTGCTTCGTATATTAAGCGAGATACATAGGAGTGGCCCTCTTATAGTAGACAGCCTGTATATATAAAACATATATAATATATCACGTACACGCATGATAAGAAAAATATTTTACTGATATTTGCAATGCATTCTAAAAATAAAATGCTTTCTAACGATTAAGAAAAATTGCGTAACAGTTTACACAAATAAGCATTTCCAACCTTACTTTCTGCACAGGAGATTTAGTTTATCTTTAATTAAGAAAAAATTGTACCCACAATTATAGTTTTTTAAAATCTAGTATGCTGAAGATAATGTAAAATAATCAAATACGCAATACAGTTGCAGGCATCAATATCAAGAAATTTCAAAGGGCACGTTACAAAAATAATTTTCCAGAGTTTTGATGATAAACTTTTCAAATTAATAATATCAATATGTTTTAAATTATGTATTTATCACCATTATTTTAATACGATTTCTTGTAAGTAAAATATTCTTATTACGGCCCTGATTAACGCTTCTTCGTTCAATGACATTGAAAACGGTTGAATGAGATCAAAGTGCACAACAGAGTAAACTGCTGGTTTCAATATTCTGTGGTAGTATACAGGGATGGCCAGAAGTACGGAATAAAATTCATATCTTTTGAATGAGTTATTTTTTTTTTAAAACGCCGAAACACGTTAACTGATTTTGATTTTTTCCCATCTTTCGGTTATATAATAATTAATTTTTCTTCAACCCCCTAACCCCCAGCTACCCCTACTTTTTTTTCCAATGGAAACATAAGGCATGATAAGGCGTTGAAAAGCTTATAGAAAACTGAATNNCTAGCTGTGATTTTCCCTCATGAAATTGATCCAGATATACCGAATGAAAGAATTTGGTTCCAACAAGATGGCGCTCCCCCACATTTTGGTATTGATGTTCGAAGATACTTAGATGAAATGTTTCCAAATCGCTGGATTGGTAGACGGGGTACAGTTGAATGGCCGCCAAGATCCCCCGACTTAACACCCCTGGATTATTTTCTTTGGGGATATTTGAAAGAAAGAGTCTACCAGGACAGACCGGATAATATTGAGAATTTAAAGAACAAGATTAGGGCGGAGATGCATAATTTACCACCTGAGGTCATTCAGAATGCTGTGGATAGCTTTTACTATCATCTTGGAGAATGCCATATAGTGAATGGAGGACATTTTTAGCATTTGCGACATTGAGTCTATTTTTGTAAATTATCTAGTTGTTTCAATTTCTAAATGAAAAAAACTTGTTATTGAAAAAATAAAACTTGTTTATTTGGTATGGCTGGATTCGGTTTTCTATAAGCTTTTCAACGAGCCCCCTCATGCCTTATGTTTCCATTTGAAAAAAAAGTAGGGATATCTGGGGGTTAGGGGGTTGAAGAAAGATTAATTATTATATAACTGAAAGATGGGAAAAAATCAAAATCAGTTAAAGTGTTTCGGCGTTTTAAAAAAAATTAATTCATTCAAAAGATATGAATTTTATTCCGTACTTCTGGCCATCCCTGTATGTATTTATATGATCTTTCCAGTAAGTGTTTAAAAAATAAATTATTTAAGGAGAATAAATAAGTTCGATCTTTTAATTGTGCATACCTACAACACGAAACCGTAGCCTGTTTTCTAAAATCATGCCTTTTTGAAGTATGTATCTGTCAATAAAATTCTTTGGTTGTCTGGTATTTTTCTATACAAAATATCTTACACTGTTGTTTTTTTTTGGTAAATGTATAGATGTTGCTAGATGTTCCATCAAACAGCTTATCGTATGTACCCCTAATACCGATATAGAAAAATAAACGCAGGATTATTCGAAGGCAATGTATCCATGTAGCTAAAACAAATATTTTACCGTAATATTTTATTAACAATATATTTTGCTAATTTTGTTGAACTTGTATTTTTATCTGCAATTAAAGGCAAAGCATTTTTATTCGACTTAAATCCATTCGAAAATATAATTATAATAAATAATGCCTAACCATTTTAAAGACACTTGCTTGGGTACATAGTTTTTATATATACACTCCTATCCTTTCTCGTGCGAAGAACTGCCACTTTAGTTCACGTGACATTAGTGAATTTGTCAACAAAGTGTTACCTAATGTTTGCCTTATGACCTTTAGTATTGTCAAGGCTATTATACAGGGTGTCCCGCTCATGTTTCAAAAAAAATTATGTGCAAGTTCCTCATGGAATAATAATAGGGGTAGTTCGTGTAAAGTACTGTTTCCGAGATACAATGTGTTGAAATTGTTATTTTCCAAATGGGTTTCCTTAACTATCTTTAAATCGGCTAAAGATAAAAATGTCAAAATTTGTACACGAGTAAACATCAACTGTGCGTTAATAATAATGTGCAAACGGTTTCTTTCTGAAAAGCAGTGCCGCCGATACAGATAATTGGAGGGGTACAATCGAAAAAAAAAAAATGTTAAAAGTCAAAATTTATTACATTTCTAAACGGTTCTGTAAACTCTAAAGCATACTACAAAAAAAGGTATGCTTGTCGAAATTCGGTAGCATGTACCATTTTCGAGAAAAATGAAGTTGAAATTGTTAGTATAATTAATCAAGAATACGCTGCAAAATTTTCAAAATAAAATTCCTATTAGTTCCGATTTTATGAGCCTACTTATTAAGCAAGAAAAGAACAGATGCAAGCTCAGAATGATGATGAGGAAGAATGACTGAGGTGCTGGAATAGCTGATTGATCGGTAGGCACTCTATATTATTGATAACTTTTTAAAATTTCTAGTTTTCAGAAATTTCCAAACGCGTTTTTCTTGAAACAACATTTTTTGATTCGCAGGAACTCTAGTACAGAAAGTTATATACTTATCGTTATGAAAATTGAAAGTGTGTTTCTTTATGAAATTACAAAGAACAAGAACCAACAATGGGGATGATATTATAATTTTAAGGGTGTTTTTTTTTATTCAAATAAGTAAAAAAAATGGTGAAAATCGATAAATTTTCTTCAAACACGTGTCAAAACTTCAATTTTCACAAATTTTATCCGCAATGAGGTTCATATTTCTGAAACTCTTGACAAAAAAGTGCAATAAATTCACTGGAAATTATCCATAAAAACGCCCCCCCAATATAAAGATTTGTGAGGGAATTATGGTGTTTGTTTTAGCGGCAGAATCCATCTTTGAGATCAGCAATTATGCACTTCAATCTGTTGGTGAACGAAGAACTAGAATAACGCGTGGTACTAATGGAATAGAGAGCAAAGTTGCTTTACCTTTTACAGATGAACTTTCAAGAACTTGTGAACATAACAGAGAATTAGATGTAAGTGATGTTATACACTCAACTTTGTTAATTATTAATTTAATTATTAATGAGGACAAATTTTAGCGCAGCATAAATCGTTTCGCGACATGTGTGAAGTCGAAACCAATATTTGTCACTCCCAGGGATGAATTTATAGAGAATTTAAGAAATTGCAGCACTGAAACTAAACAGATACTTCACCAATGTTTGCCTCCAAAGCTTCAGTATCTTCCAGAGTTTATATTTGCATTGTCAGAGTCTTCGTCTAAGTTGGTGTATGATGATTCTAAAGAAATCGCAGGTAATGGTGAGACAATATTAAAAATCAACTAAAGAATGTCGCGAAAGTTTGATTAAATTTTTATATCTAAAACCAGTGATACCAAGGCATTGTATGTGCTTGACTACGTCCTTCTGTAGATGTTTCATATAGTTCTTAAATTCAAGGAGGATTAACTCCCTGTATACCGGAACTGAGAAGCAGCGAAAGTCAGAAGAAGTACACGAAATGTGTTACAGATGCAAGAGGAACCAGTAGTAATAAGCTTCCTGGATCAAAAAAAATATTGTGCCAGTAAGTATCATGTTAAGTTTTAAGGATGATAATTTGCAATTTAATGTTTCACTTTTCTTACCCAGTTTATAAGAAGTTCTCTAACTTATTTTCCGTTTCTTTTTTCCAGAAATTTTATACCAATTAGTGAGTGCTATGTGAAACAAATCAATGGTACATGCACCCTCAACAGTGATCTGGAGAAATTCACCAAAGATTATATGAAGGCGGTAAAGGAACCTTGTTCAGATTAGCTCAATTCATTCATGATTATGGAATTTGTTCAATCATTTTGAAACACGTAGATCAAATTTATATAATAACACATGCAATATATAATTTCTAATCAATGTTTCTTTAATTTTTATTGAGTATGAAAATAACGAAAGTATTATACAATTATACAATGTCATTAATTTTAAGGGAAAATTGGGAAAAATGAGTAGAATACGAATACTAGATTAAAAAAAATTTAAAATGTATATTTACTCTGAAGAAAAATATTTGAAAATCGTTATTTATTTGTTTATTGAGAGTGAATCTTAACCTACTGTATTATTCGGTCACTGACCTACTTTTGTATAAGGATAATAATTGTTTTCGAATGATAGGTTATTACAATTTAGTATTTTTAATATTGTTAACCTTCACTAGGTTTTATAACTGAATAAACGTTTTTAGTATTACGTTGAATTAATTATTCAGTTTGTAGTCCATATATATACCTAGTGACTTATTGCTTCTCAAAGCGTAGTATGGTAGCTACTCATCTAAAATGCCAGTGCGGCTAAAATAACACTTATCCGCCCAAAACATGTTTTAAATCAAGTTGGGATCCGCTGCATTTTAATTTGGAAACAATTGCAAATTTCAAAACGACTGAGGAAATCAGCTGTTTCGCTTCAACGTTCGAACACTCTCTGGTCCGCGGGCGCGCTCAGAGTCAAGGCGAAGTTAAAGAATAATTTGCTTATATTTAAAAAGGTCGAGCAAATTTTTTTCGATTTTCTGTCTTTATTAGGTCCTTCCGAATAAGTGGTTAAAATTAATAACAATATGATTGAATCACCCTGTAGGGTACCTCTATGTTTCTAAAGCCTATATATATGACCCCAAGCAAACCTAAAATATATTTTGACATTTGTGTTGAAAGCAATAAAAGTATTTAACTCGACTCACTGAGTTATTCCCAGGCATCTAAATTTAACGCCATTGATTTGAGGAGTCGTAAAACTTTATTTCTGTATGATGGGTCGTTACAGCTAAAAATGGCTGTTACTCGGAGATTTTAGTGATATAAATACCAATTACCAGCACTTTTAGACGAGTCGCCTATTCCGCCTCTCTATATCAGATACAACAGGTATCTTTTAGCTACAAAACTCTTCAATTTTCAAAATAAAATGAGATTTATTAGATTTGGTGTAGGTTAGAATTGTTTAGTTTATTAAATTTTCGTACTTTTTTGCCTGGTGTTTAGATATTGTTGTTAGTTAGGCACAAATAAATAATACATGTCGTACGACGTAATTTTTTTCCACTAGAGTTGTAACTCAAAAACTAGAGTCTCTAGAAGAAACGTGGTACGTTACCGAACATCCATGTGGTTAATGGGGCAACAAAATTTGGCTGGAATGAAAAAAAAACACAAATTTAACTATTGTCATCCTTTGTTACAAATGACAAATGACACTATCGGTTGTAACACCTCGAGGTGCAGTTGTAACAGACTATAAAAAGTACAAGACAAAAGTATCTAATAAAAACTTTTTAAAATAATAAATTTTTATTAACACATCAGCAAATAATAAATATAAAAATATAAAAAACCCAACTTTAAAATTATTTTCTAATCTCCTTAGTTGACAACCATCTGAATAATGAAGAAAATGAAAGTTATCAGTTCAAACGTAAATGTAACACAAATCTACATGTTACAATTAATTGACATCATCAGTAGCCATCTTGTTTAATGTAACTCATTTGAAAGAAAGCGACCAAATCAAAAACTGATATACTCGCGTATTTTACACTCGTGTAGCTACAAGGAAGATCTAATAAAAACAGAAAATAGACCAAAATGGTTCACGACCTTTTAAAAAATAAGCAAATTACTTAACTCTTAACCCGCTAATTCGGCAAGCGGACTACAAAGCGTTCGAATACTGAAGCGAAACAGCATTGTCACATCAGAACCACATAAATAATTATAAAATATTCAAAATCTACCACCGCTAATCGCATCTTCCGCATAGTTTTCCCGCAAATTTGGAGATCACGTCATACATATGGAGAAAAAATGCACAAGGCAAAATGCAATACAACCCGCAGTTTATTTCGGATTGTTTCGAGTGTCGGTCGTAATGGCTAATTTTGCGAATTTTGAATATGCGGAAATGGTAGTTTTATATGGAGGACGTTCACGAAATGCGAATGCCGCTGAAGTAAAATAACGGAGGCGTTTCTCACACATACCCCATTTCTGCGAACCTCGTGCGAGTTTTTCGACGTGTTCACGATACCGTGTCTTTTATAACGCGACGAGAACTTGCAAGTCATCGGCAAATTGACTTGAATGTGATAGAAGCTGTTTTAAATTTAATTGAGGAGCTACCTACTATTCTGACAAGAACCATTTCAGCGCGGTTGGGGACATCCCACAGCAAGGTCTGGAGAATAAACATGAGCTTTTAAAAATATTTATTTTTCGGCGTCAATATGCATTTTAAAATTTTTTTAATCTCGTTTCTCATTTTTTTCCTATCTTCCCCTAAAATGAATGACATTATGACTGAATCACCCTGTAGTTAACATCAGTACACATTAGTGTAACATCCGCACTGGCCATGATCAGATAAGTTTCACTTTTTGTTGATTTATTTCACATGTGGCCAAAACCTCACCTCGGAGCCCTCTAGATGTCAAAGAATGTGCCCAACTCGGGGCGCCTGCCGGTATAATTAAAAAAGTCGACCCCTAATTTGTTTACAGGTGGTTTACTTACTTTGTCAAAGGCGCTGGGCCTGTGGCATCGGTGGTCCCGGTGGTCCGGCTCCATGCGTGGGCCGGGGTGAGGGCGGCAGAGGGGGGGCCGGGCAGCCGGGCAGGGGCGCACGCCTCTAGCCGAGCTCCATGGGCGAGCTCTGCCCCCGCCCCATCACGCCCACACTCACCCCCACATACAACCGACAACTGTAACAGAACGTCTCGGTTAAAAAACAGGCAAATTAACAAGCGGTAGGGTCGTTTCCGCAAGATGCGAAATTTTGCAGGAGATCCAGAATGATCGAGAGTGACGTCGCACGTTAAAGATATGCCATCAAAATTGATCTCCGTTTACTCAAAACTATTTTCCAGCCAAGGACAATAACGGCTTAGTGTCAATCTGGATATCTCTGTACAGGGTGGGTTACATTTTCTAGGTAAATTTATGTTCTTTGTTAAAACAAAATTTCGAAAAAAGATGCATCATGAAAAATAGTCAATATCGTAAAAAAAATTTCTAAAATCCTTATAGTTTTCGAGAAAAAATTATTGAAGTTGTAATATTTACAACCCTTACATCGCTGGGCTACTGAAATCCGATTTTAGTATTAAAGTTTCTACGAACTGTCGAAATATCCCACTTGGATGTAAGAGGGGGCAAGCTAATTTTTTCTGGAATACCTTCAGTACAACTCACATAATAAAAGTGTAGATCCCTAGATCTGGGCGAGGTCCGGAACATTTTCAAAATTGCAAAAATTTTGAAAAAATACCTATTTTATCTAAGTTTTTTACTTATATCTTGGACCCTATGCATTTTGGAACAACATTGAAGAGGAAAAAAGGTTTTAGAATTGAATTTTGCACAATATACTGTAGATACTTTAAAAATGCTATCGTCAATGCTTTTGGAGATTACTTCAACAATGTCTTCATTCAATCGCAACCGGTTAATGCAGCTCAGTTTTCATTGTGCAAAATAATTTAGGATCGCATTTAGTGATTCAAAATTTAACTTATGAAGATGTTTTACAAAATCTCAGAAGATTTAAAGATACTTTTACGATGGGCGTGGATGGAGTTCCTAGTTTTATTCTCAGAGATTGTGCATATGCTCTCGCTGAGCCATTGCTGATTTTATTCAATTGTATCTTACGTCATTCCACTTTCCCATCTTGTTGGAAAAAAACTTACATTTGTCCTATACCGAAAAAGGGAAATCACAGTGACGTATCCAATTATAGAGGCATTTCTTTATTGAGCAATTTCTCTAAGGTATTTGAAACTTTACTATATGGTAAACTGTACTCTTTCGCTAGGCAGCTTATTTCGCCACGGCAACATGGTTTTATGCAAAGGAAGTCTACAACATCTAATTTAGCTGTTTTCACTCAATACGTTTCTGAGGTTTTGGATAATAGAGGGCAGGTGGACGTTGTCTACACTGACTTCCAAAAAGCTTTTGATCAGATAGACCACAATATACTCCTCGTCAAACTGGAAAGTTTTGGATTCTCCGAGGCTCTGATTAAACTGTTTACTTCTTACTTAAGTGATAGATATTTTATGGTCAGGTATCAAAATTTCACATCAGAATCATTCTCTCCAACATCAGGCGTTCCTCAAGGCTCAAATTTGGGTCCCATATTATTTTTATTTTTTATTAACGATCTTCCAGATGTTATCACTTGTGAACATTTGCTATTTGCGGACGATTTTAAACTATATTCTGAAATCAAATCTCCTTCAGATTATATTCGCCTTCAAGAATGTATCAATCAAATGACTTCATGGTGTGAAAAAAATCGTCTGAAACTTAATATATCTAAATGCCATGTAATGACTTACACTCGCAAGACTAGCTTTCCCATTTATAANTGATAGAGTTTGAGCGGCGATTTAAAAATATATAGGGTTTGTTACAGCTATTTGATAAAACAAAAGAGATACAAGGCCGCGAATATCAAACTGAATCACCCGGTATAGAGCGTCCAGATATTAACCGACAATATATTAAGAGCATATCCTACTATTAATGAAAGAAAGACAGCGAAATGTTTCCTTAGCAACTTATAGATTCTTAAAGTTCTAGTAACAGTATTACTGTTATGTGGCAAATCTAATAATTAAAATATTTTCTAAATAAACTATTTCATTTGAGCCAAAAATTAGAAATTTAAATAATCTTTTAGTGAAATAGTTGAACAAAAAGGTTTTTAAATCTGACTGGAGAATGAAAATGTAATTTTTCTGGTAGATACCCCTGTTGCAATTTGTAAACAGTTTTTTCTTTAAATTGTTTGGCTGTTGTTTCCCATAACTTTTTTCCTTTACCTTAGGTATAGTGATACCTACTAAACTTATTATATTGTATAGTGTTATTCCAAATTCTATAAGTTTTCTGACAAAATTACTAAGTAACAACACTTCCGTATTTTCTTTTCATGAATCAATTTAAATGGAATAGGAAAGTAATTTTACTGGTTCTGCCTTGTCTCTATTTCTCCAGAATTAAGACACACTGTATAAAGCATCCACAGATACTTTTTGTAGTCAAGCTTCTCATTTGGTGCTTTTTCAATCATGAAAAACATATCTTGATTTATTTGTATAATTAACTGAAATATCAATGAATTTTTCATTCATGTCATGTACCTTTATAAACACTAAATATTGAGACCAAGCATAAATGTTTATTGTATATTGACATATATCTTCGATTAACTGTATAATTAGTTTTACTTGTGACATTTTAATTGTTTTAGTCTGTTTTAATAGTAGAAATGTAACTTTCTGATTTGTTAGTTAGATGTATGTATTTCATTTTCGCTACGTTATATAGTTTTGCATGTGACCTGTTCTGTCTAAAATGTTGTGGCGTACAAATCTAATAAATTATTATTATTATTATTATTAAAAAAAAATGTTTAAATTTATTACCGATGTTGTAAAATAGCAATAATTGATGAAGGCAAAATTTTGGTAGAAAAAACTTTTATATTATAATAAAAACACACCAAATTTCATTAAAATCGGTTCGAGTTTTCGCAAAATAATTTTTTTTTATTTTGAAAAAAAAATGTTCAAATTTTCAAAATTTTGCACAGCCTCAAATAAAGTACTCCCCCACTTTTCGTGTTTTGAGTTATTTATAAAGTGAGAGCTTTTCCGCTGATTTGGTGTGTTGTTTTATTATACCATAAAATTATCCAAATAGCTTAATTTTTTTGCCTTTTTTTCTTCAATTATTGCTATTTTGCAACAATGGCAATAAATTTAAACATTTTTAATTTGTAGTATATTGTGCAAAATTCAATTCTAAAACTTTTTTCCTCTTTAATATTCTTCCAAAATGCATAGGTTCCAAGATATAAGTAAAAAACTCTTGCAATTTTGAAAATGTTCCGGACCTCGCCCAGATCTAGGGATCTACACGTATTATTATGTGAGTTGTACTGAAGGCAATACAGAAAAAATTTGCTTGCTCCCTCTCACATCCACCTCAAAACAGATCCGCCCTGATCTAATAGAAATTCTTTAAATTTTTTATCAGCTCATTTTTTATGCTTATATTATATATAGTATTATATGAAATTTGCCTTATACCGGATGAGTATGATTTTATAGTTCTTTGGACAAGCAAAAAAAAATTGCCACAATTAGAAAATTTTTATTTTTTTTTCAAATTAATGACTAAATATTAGCGATCATATTTCCTATACTTTTTTAATTGGAACGCTAATTTAAAAGAACTTCTTTATTAAAAAGTATAAGTACTTTGCATATATTATATTTAAATATTTTGAAGATATTTAAAGATAAACTTTCTGACTTTAGAATATGTTTATACAGGGTGTCCCGAAATTCATGCAACAAAATTTGGTCATAGATTCTTAAGACAAACTGAGGGGACCCGTATTTTTTCTTTTTGCCAACTGGCCCCCTCTTTCTGAGTTACAGCCCCCTGAAATCTGTCCCTAAGAAGTCTTTTTTATATCTCAAAACCATGATGNCTCCAACATCAGGCGTTCCTCAAGGCTCAAATTTGGGTCCCATATTATTTTTATTTTTTATTAACGATCTTCCAGATGTTATCACTTGTGAACATTTGCTATTTGCGGACGATTTTAAACTATATTCTGAAATCAAATCTCCTTCAGATTATATTCGCCTTCAAGAATGTATCAATCAAATGACTTCATGGTGTGAAAAAAATATATCCTATCTTTCTTTCGATGAGGAATCACCCCCCTTAAATGTTTTACACTTATTTAGTTACACCCTATATATTCATATTATCTGAATTTTTGAATACGAATATTCTGGATTCGAGTACTCTTTCAACGTTGTGTTCAGGATTGAATACTTTTTACGTCTTTTTACCCAACTCTGGTGGCAAACGAAGCTGTTTTCAAAAAAAGAAAATCATATTTTCTTTGACAGTTTTGTCAAAATACCGTATTGCTTGTAGGTGCAGAAGCACCCAGGATTCCCTTAGTTAAGGGTCCAAACGAAATAAGTAATTCCCAAGTGATAATTTTCAGATATTACCTACGGAAGTAAATAAAGGATATCCCCTTCTTGGGGTGCAGCAGTCCAAAAGGAATAAAAACCAGAGGACTGATACCGAATAAATTGTTGGCAAATCCGTGTGGGTCATTGAGCATTGAGATTGGCTTCAGCTGTCCATCGCCAAATTCCTTGAACGTAGTGACATAACTAATGAAGCCGTTGATTATTTTGTCAGCCCCAAAAGTCAAATATTCCTTCTATCACCTCAGGCGTGGTAAAAATAATATGAAGACGTTCGTGACGGAACTAGGAGGGAAGAAAAGCGAGCAAAACTGAAAGAATGTCGACTCGTGGTATCGATTCTACAACTTTAATTAACAGAGGTCTCGATATTTCGAAAAGTTATTATGAAAGTCATGAAACTAAAATAAAGATTCGGGGTAATCGTCTGAAATTACGTTTGGGATAGCAAATAAGTGTTATTTTGCCAGAAATTTGAAAAAAAAAAAAAATTTGCGATTTCCATACATTTATCAACAAAATCTAGTGGCTACGATTTCGTTTATAAATGTTGATGAAAGAAGTCCATACAGTATTTTGTTTTTGCCAAAATTTTTATAGCCATTTCATGAATATTTAAAAATTTTCAGGTGTTTTCAAAACGTATTCTTTTGGTTCAGACACCAGATAATAGA